GGTTTAAAATATTGATAATTTTGTAGGTTTTCCAAACGTGATGAAACGTCAACATTGATGTTGTTAATATAAAAGTTATGGGTTTTCTAAATAAACCACGATGGGTACAAGTTGCATTTGAGAACATTAAAAAGATTGTTAATATCATGACTAAGACCAAGACTAGTGTTGTTTATTTTATCTCTATCAATTAAACATTTAACCAGACTAACTCTATCAATTAAATATTTAACCAGACTAACTTTGTATGAAAATGAAGTAAAACTAAAAAAATTTGTGTAGAGTTCCGAAAAAGTTTTTTTATGAAAAACAGTGGTAATTGTGGAATTAATTGTTTTATTTAGAATAAATGATTTTAACAAAAATTAAAAATGCTGTCTTATTTATTAGAATATTTATATATATATATATATATATATATATATATATATATATATATATATATATATATATATATATATATATATATATTAAGTAACATATATATATATATAAGAAAAACTTTGATAACATAAACCTCCAAGGGATCAAGGAAAGTGGTTCAACTTAACAAATGTTTAAATTAAGTGAATTCCTGTTAAACTTTGGTAAGTCGAACTTTGGCAAATATGAGATATTAGTTTAAGTTAAAACAATTTTTCTTTACTTAATGCTAAAGTATAAACATTAAATATACCCATTCACTTTTTTTTTTCCTACAACTTCACAACAGTTCCAGAGAACACTTCTGCAAGACTATAACAGATATGTTGTCTGGACCACAAGCTGAAAAAAGTCTAAGCAGGAAATCACTTTAGATACAGAGGCTATATAAATACGAACGTCATGGATCAACCTGTTTGTTGGCTATATCAGGTAAAATGCAACTAGTGGAATCAAGAGATGATATTGGTGAGAAGTTCTCAGCAAACAACTCAGCTTTGACTTTAGGTGAGGTGAAAAAGTCTGAACCATACAAGAGAGGTGGAATAACAGATTTGCCCTTTTTATATGATACTGTTAATAATTCTTCAGAAGTCACAAGAGCCTAATTTTTGAGATGAAATATGAAATTTTGTAACCTGAGAATAGCGGTTTTTGGCAGTAGACAAAAATTTTTTACAATGATTTCTAGCAACAATAAACAGGCGACAGTTTTCTGGAGAAATGTTTTGGTAATAGATATGAAAATAATGACTACGATAGGAAATTGCAGCAGCACATTGAGAGGAAAAATTATGGAGAAGAGTGAGGCTTGCCTTGGAATTGTTGAGAGGTAATAAAAGATTTCATGCCAGCCCGAATCCAAGAAGTTATGTTAGAAGCACATTTTTCAGCGGGAAGACAAAAGATTTCTACCCACGGACCATCACAAAGAAAATCACAGTAAGAGTCCCAGTCAGCTTTAAGATAAGATAATAAGAGGTACAATTATAAGGAAATTCTGATGATGAAGAAGAATGAGATAATAGTTTTAGAGAGATCAAACTGTGATCAGAAGCACAAGGGTGAATGTGGAGAAACTGAATAGAATCAGAAACAAGTCATAAGTTGAGTAGAGAAGGTAAATGATTCAGATTGTGGATAGCGAGTTGGAAAATTGACTATTTAAGTTAGGGATTGTGAAAGGCAAAAGTTGTGGGCCTTAACCGCTGCAGAATCACTGACACTAGAGCCAAGTCATTTAATGTGATGAGCATCAAAATCACCAACAAAAATGATATTGGCTGAAGGATAAAGAGAGAGGGCTTGGTCAACTTGATCAGAATTAGCAGCAAAAATAGTGCAGAGTTGAAGAAGAGCAATATAGAACACAGAGAAAATCAATAGAGTGAAGTAGTACTAAACTAAAGTACATAAAACAATAGTCTGTTGATTCAAACCTAGTTTCATCTAATGGGTAATTTAAATAAATGGGTGAAATCTTACAAATGTAAATGCCCAGGCCAAGCATGTGACTATTAGAGTTAAATAACGAATTAAAGGAAGATAACCATCAACACTAAGATCACAATCTGAGACAGCTGAACTCAAGTTAATATCACAAAGAGCAAAAAAATCAGTTGAACTTTGCAAGAGAAAAGACTCAACAGAAGAAAAGTTACTTTAAAGACCACGAACTTGGTAATGAAAATGGTTTTTTGTGTTTTATAGTTTTTGGTACTTTGGTCATTTTTAAAGTTGTTAAAGAACTTGACTTAAAGCACAGATAGTACTCAGTACACTAATAAATAGTCTAAGCAATTAGTAATTATAAACCTAAGCCATAACAAAGGGTTCCAAATGCGCCTTAACAGTGCATGCCAAAAGTATAAACAGGGATACCCTCCATGCGCAACTTGGCACTGTTAGTACACTGATATTTTATGGAATCAGCCTCTCTGAGAGCTACTACAGAGTTTAGGAAACATGACTACCAACCCACTTCAGAACCATAAAGCTGACTTTTAGAACTGTACCCTCATTAGTAGATAATAGATTGAGTTGCCTAGTCATAAATACAGAGACACAAGCAAAACCT